CTGTCTGATATTTCCTTTTTGAGAGGAAGACTCATTTCTAGAAGTGATAGGATAGCAGTACCCCGGTCTGGAGGCGCGAGGGCTTGTTTGGCTGCCACGTCTGCAAGTTCATTTCCGAATATTCCCACTTGACTAGGAATCCATATAAAGTAAACAGATTAGTTTAAGAGAAATTTTCAACATTAATGTAAACCACAGCTTGAGTTCCGATGGTGGCAAATAGGTTTATTTGAAAGCAAATTTAGTATTTTATCGCATTTTTTAATATAGAGTTAATTGTTTAATTATTCGTGAAAAATTTCAGGCACTCTGACAGCTTATTTCACACCAGTAATAGGCATCCAGGTTTTTGGGTTAAATGAGTTTTTTATATCATTAAAAAATAATAAATAAATTCTTCACAGTTTTAAACTAGGAAATAGTAAACCGTAGATTAATGAATACAAATTTCAAACTTATATCATAAAGAAAAATAATAAGGAAACCTCCTTGAAGTCAAAATCCATCCTTGTTCGATTAAAAAATCAACTGACAAACGACTATTGTGAGATGATATGACTTGAGGTTCAGGCATCGACCTCTTCATGGTATATAAAGCTGATAATATGATAATGAGCTGAAAACTGTCTACTGCTAATACATATACCATATTATTATTTGTATTATTTTAGTTGCCCTTAGTTTTTTTTATTATTGAATGTGATCTAAATTCGTAAATACATACTTAAAAGTTTATAATTGTAAATGATATTAACAACTGTATTATAAATAAAAATAAATTCAGTAAATATGGACACAAGAATATAATAACATAGAACCACTTTTTGAGAAACTACTCACTGGTAGCACTCTAAAAATGTCTTTGCAACAGGATATCTCGAGACCATCTTCTTTTCAGTGGCCTCGAAAAGATATTTTTTTTAATTAAATACTTCAACTACAAGGGTCATTATCGCCTTATTTTCATTGAGCATTAGATTTCGTTTTCAAGTTTTGAACATTTTAGAAAAGAAAATAGGTTGTCAATTTCATTCGTATTATGCTTTAGATCGTGTTTCACTGTCGGAGGAGTACCACAGGTTTGGCATGTTGGCGATAAATCACGGGCCATCAGGTATCCATTAGTATAGCGTGTAATACCGATACGCAGGCATGTAAGAATTATTCCCTCTCTACGCTTATTCGAAGGAATACTTAAAAGTTAAGTCAAAAATATACTCAGTTAATTTGCAACAAGCCGACATTATTGAAATTCCTCGGATGTTGGCTTACATTAAACAATTAGCTTGTTATATATAAGTTTGAACAATAAATTTACAATAAAAATTTTAATACCATATAACAATTTTATTTTTTTAATCTTTTGTTGTGATATTCTTTTCATGTACTTCAATTTAACAACATTTTTGAAGTGAAATTTCCATCATTAATTGTCTCATTGAACCAAGAGGCAGATAAGTAGCAATTTCTCCTCTGTCAAAAGAGCAGGAAGCGCTGCCTTTTGAATCTGATGAAAATTATATTCAATAATTATGATTGAATAGAAGGGAAATTCCAAGAATCAATCAATAGCATCCTTTCCTCTGCCATTAACAGGTTCCATTACATCTGTTACACAATTCCTCATTAATATACCGTTGGAAAACTACAAGTTCAGGCTCTGTTTTGTTTTTAACATCTATGTTTTTGAATTCTTGTCCCATAAATATTTGGCTTTTAATGTGACAAATATGCATTCCTCCTAGGAATGGCCATCGATAGTCGATATTATCGAAATATCGATGCTTTACTTCCGATATTTGATATTTTTCCACCATAGTATCTTCTTTGATATTATCGACTCTCGACATTAAAAAATAAAAATTAAAACTATCGTTTTAGGAAAGCGCTAGAAATTATATATAAATAAAAAACGTTGGAGACACTGGCCTGACAATGAAAGGCCAAGAAAAAAAAAGTAAAGTGGGCGGAAACTTAATGAACGTTGTATAAGGGTAAACCGAGGCATGGATAAGAAGAAATGAAAAAAAAAATGTACTTTTTTAGTTTGGGAAAAGTACATTTGTAGAAAATTCAAATTGAAATAAAATAAATTACGTCACATTAGGGCATCTTAAATTTCCATTAAAAATTTTTAACATGTTCCTATTTCAGTTCGCCAAACATAATATACCATAATATCTTATAATAATAATATTTTCAAAAGCATTATGATATTAAGATTAAATCACGTTTTATTAATGATTATAATATTTAAAATAGACAAAACAAGCTATAATATAAAAAACCAATCAAATGTAACAAAAATATAAAATAGTAAAATAAAATAAGCATAAAGGAAAACAACAATAAAATTTTAGTATAATAAATTTATACTTTCCCATGATACGAATACCGATTTATATAAATAGAGTAATTAGTATAATACATCCTTTTAATTACATAATGTAATATAAATTACTAATTATATAAATCAATCAATATATTTTTATTTTAACATTTTGTGCCATATTCACAACTTCGCAGTAGCGCATTTACCAAATTTTATATATTGAGGATTAGTTGCCAGTTTGCTTGATTAGCTTTTGTAGTTATTGTAGTTGGTCCCTTGGCCATTTTCTTTTAAGTCTGTGTCGGTAAGTCAACAGAGAATAGGAAATAGAAAGGACTAATGGATTGAAGTGATTTAGAATTGAAGAGCGAAATGAAGTGTATTTGTCGTAGATGTAGTATTTTACTGTTATATATACTATCATTTGAAATTTATTAAGGTGCGTTAGCAATTTTTCGTAGACTTTTTTTATTGTGGTGTTTGTATATTGTCCATGTGTGTTTGTTTTGCCGAACCCTAAAGTTCTGCTCCGCATGTCAAAATTGGTCTCAATATGGTGTTGTATATCAGTAGCTTGTTTCGTAAGTTAAGTGAGGATCTATAGTCCAGAAGATGTGAGAATTGGTTATTTCGTCTAGTCAGGTCTTGTCTTTTTAATTTAGTATTGATGTTCCAGGTAAGTATTTTGTCTAAGTAGATTCCGAGGTATCGTACAGAGTTTTTTTAAGGCACTGGGACATTGTCAATCGTTACGTGTGGACATGAGGTTTTCCTAAGAGATTAAGTCACTTGAGTGGATTTGTTAATATTGAGTTTAATTTTCCCAAGAAATATAAAACTAATAAAAATTAATGAATATAAACAAAATTTATTTTAGAAATAAATAAAATAAAATAAACGAAGTTCTGTTTATTTCTGTCTATAAATAATCTAATACCATACATGTGTGGGGTGTTCATGCGCGTGTGCGTGCGCTGTCTGCATGTATATAATAAATAACATATCAACCTCTTTACTTTCTATCATATTTTAGTCTATCTGAACATTCAAATATTACACAACCTGGCATCTCTCATACAAGGCCACATAATTATTAAGGATACATGACCTCCATTGAGGAGAGCCAGTTTATACTAGAACCGTCGATGCACAAATGCCTACTTTAATATGACCGTTGAATACTAATGCCCTGCCTGGTTTCGAAATGTAGTTTGGGAAGCTATCTCTATGAGGAAAATTTCAAACCCATTTCAGCATTAGTTAAGGGAATTTCAATAGTGATCTGTTCTGTGCTCTCTGGGCGATTGCAAAACCACCAGCATACCTCCAACATCAACATCATTTCACATGATCAATGTCATCCTTTTTTTTTTATATGATTAATAAAAGTAAAAGTTCAAAAATATGGCTTGCCGTGGCTAAGAGTAATTAAACACTCTTTTTCCTATTGTTTATGGGATGATAATACAATCTGCTTCATGAAGGGCAACAAATACTTGTGCTACACGAGTTCATTCATGCAATAAATATAAAAAACCGAAATAAATATAAATATTAAAAAAATATATATAGATAAATAAAATTAATGTTTTTATATACATTCATACCTATATACAATATCTATATTCGCCCAGAGAACTCAGGGCCAAGCTTCGTCCTCCACATGTGGAAAAACAAAGCAAGACTCAATTTCCCAGTGCTTCTTTTCCAGACGCGTCGTCACTGGCGTTAAAAGCTGGTGGAAACTGAACGAGAACACTTGAGCCACAAACGCTCAGGACATGAGAAGCTGAGTCTTGAGTAAAAGAAAATTTTTTTGTTCTTTTGCAGAATAGTAAAAAACAATGAAATAAAAAAAATGTCTGTTGTGTTTGGTTAATTTAAGTTTTTCAATAATCAACCTTCATAATCGACCAAAAAAAAAATAGCAATTTCACACAAAGTAGAAGGTTTTGTACTGAAACGCGACCCAAAATAGAAAATATTATTTTTTCATTGTTCACTTTTTTTTGTTTTTGTTATTTTTGTTTTTTTAGGATAATTTGAGCCAAATACTTAATCAAACACAATATGTTTTCATTTTTAGTTATAAAGCATATACAGCTAATAAATGTGAGAACATGTGAAAAAAAAATATAAAATATTATCACTATAAACATTATTGTTACTTTTTTTTTCTTTCATAAACATTTTTTTCTGCAGTAATACGGTTATTAAAAAAAAAAAAAAACTGCACACAACTCATGTAAATTTTTGTTTTCAAATCAAAAGATAGAATATAAAAATCGAACAACAAATAAAAATCCGGCCGTAGTTTTAGACAAACAAAAGTCACACTTCATTCCAGAATGAACCTCAAGAATCTGGCCCATATCTTGTTCTTTTATAAAGATATGGAAAAACATAAATTGCTACGGAATTATTATAACAAAGCCAGTAAAAATAAAACTCAATATGTCTACAAATGTATCCGAGGACATACATAGCTGATGAGACCTTTTGAGCTGACTAGCCAAATATGTCTAACCATACTAGGATAACAGATTTTAAAATATACTAGCCCGAATATTTTATAAATATTTTATTAAACTTTCAATTTCATTGTTTATAGTACTATAAACAATTCAATTACAACTATTGATTAACTGACTGATGCGTTGTGTTGCAGGAATGTGGTGACGCAGCGATGAACGGTACAGCGGTGCGGGAGCGGTGGTGCGGCGAGGCCTTCGACAGCCTGCACAACGCCTACAAGGAGGCCCATGGCTACTCCAGCCTCGTCGTCTGCCTCTTCGGCTCTGTCGCCAACGTCCTCAACATCGTCGTGCTCACCCGGCGGGAGATGTCCTCCCCCACCAACGCCATCCTCACCGGCCTCGCGGTGGCCGACCTCCTCGTCATGCTGGAGTACATCCCCTACTGCTGGAGGGAGGTCTTGGCGGTGAGGCCCAAGCGCGACAAGTACTCCTACGGCCACGCCCTTCTAGTCCTGCTGCACGCGCACTTCTCTCAAGTCTTCCACACGATATCCATCTGGCTGACCATAACGCTGGCCGTGTGGCGCTACATCGCTGTCGTCTATCCCCAGCGGAACAGAGAGTGGTGCGGTATGCAGCAGACTATAATTGCCATAACCAGTGGCTACTTGATCTGCCCTATCCTTTGCATACCGCTCTACTTAGCCTTCGATATCCAGCCGAGGGGAACCATTTTGGACGAATTCGGCAACAAACCGACAGTCAATACGACAAAGTTCACAAATACTACCTTATACTACGTGGACCTCAGTGAGCTAGGCAGAGCTAACGACAACCTACTGGCCACCATAAATTTCTGGGTGTACAGCATAGTGATCAAAATCATACCCTGCATCGCTCTGACCATACTCAGCCTCAGGCTCATCTCGGCCTTGATCGACACCAAGAGGCGACGGGAAGCTCTGACCAGCGGTAGCCGAAAGACTCCTAGGATAGCCGAGAAGGAGCGGCAAACCGACAGGACGACGAGGATGCTCCTAGCAGTCCTTCTCCTCTTCTTGATCACGGAGTTTCCCCAGGGCGTCCTCGTCCTCTTGTCCATTTATCGTGGCCAGGAGTTCTTCACCGATTGCTACCAAAAGCTAGGAGAGATCATGGACATCCTGGCCCTGATCAACTCCGCCATAAATTTCATGATCTATTGCGCGATGAGCCGGCAGTTCCGGACGACGTTCAGCTTGCTGTTCCGGCCCCGGTGGCTGCCGGTGCCTCAGGTGGAGAACGCGCAGAACAACCACACGACGACGATGGTGACCCAGGTTTAGCGAAAGGCCAAGAGGCGGTGCTCTCTCCGACCCTCCCAGCTCTAACCTCACCCAAGACCCCTTCACAACTGCCTCTGTCACTTCTCGTTTTAAGTCTTTTCCTGTTACAGCTCAATTCTCGATATTAAGAAGGGTAGTGTGATTGAATAATGTAATTACGAATTCGAAATATTTTCTATCCAAGTTGTATAAAAATCTATTCGATGTACACAGGAACAATGAGCTTATGATTAAGTAATAGACTCTAATACAAAGGTGTGTTTTGTTTCTAATGATTGTGAAGTCGAACCCGATGTGGATGTGTTATCTTTACTGTTACTAATGTGTGTTCATTTCGTTCTATTTTAATCTATTATTTCAGCTTCTTGTGTAAATTTAAAAGTGATTTAAAAGAAATGAAACTGTTGTATTATGCATTATTAATATTTTTTATAGGCTGTCTAGAATTTATATATTTTTTAATAAATCGAAAGTGACATTCATCTCTCCATCCCACATGTTGTGTAGTTGATTGTTATGCAACTGCCCTGTTTGTCGGTCTGCAGTGCAGTTGGCAATTTGGGAATCATATTCCTTTCATTTATTATCAATTGTGTATAACTGTAATGTACTTTTTAAATAAATTGTTAGCCTGTTAACTAATGCCCAACCTAGCTTTTAAGTGTTATTGTTTGTGTGAGGCTGTGTTACTGTTAGCAAACGGCCTGTTATCTTATAGATAAGATATTGTATGTTCGTGAAATATTTAATGTTATAACCGTATTTCTTAACCATACTTCAAATAACTGTCATTAGAGCTGTATATATGTAAAGCTGTGTATAATAATAATAATAATTTAATTGACCGTGAGTGCGAGATGTGTATATTTTTGTATGTTTTTTGTTTTGTTATGTGAAGTATGACGTGGTGGGTGGCCTTCCCCGAATGAGCCCAGGGGTGGACCAGCCTTGTGTGCCTGTACTCTATCATGTCTCAATTGTTAAATATATCTGATATTGCATATAAAGCTTTTTAAATCAACCTCAATCCTAAAAAAAAAAAAGGCATTCAATTAAATCTTTATTTTTAATTTATCTTCTTGTACTAAGTGTTTTCTAAGAATTAAAATATTTTTCCTGTTTAATTTTTTTTGTTTTATTCTCTCTAATTAAAATCAGTCATTAAAGTGTTTTATGTTGCTAAGCTTACATACTCTGCCATGAGCCTTTTATAAAAGTATACACTTTACATTAAGTTATAAACATAATAATTTCAAGGTTCCTTAAATCTCTACAAAACGAAAAAAAAAAAATAGTTGAAACCGAACCATTATAAGCTAGTTGAATTTTGTATATAAGATTTGGTTAGCTGTTTAATTGTACCAAATCATTGTATTTGTCTGAGGGGAAAAATGCCTCAGCTCAAAATTTATTGCAAAGTTGCACGAAGTATGGAAGAAGGTTTCTTTTTTTTTGTTCTAGTATTGCTGAGATACGAAATTCAAATTTTCGACCTTGGTGACCAATATTTTTGGATTTTCTACTACCTGAGATTTAAAATATAATTCAATTTTACTGCCAAATATTTCCAGATTTCCCTGTTGACCAATCCATTAACAAATATTACGAAAGAGAGGAAATGTGAGTTAACAAACATTCTAAGCTTTTTAATAACTTCTCATCCAATTAAAGAATATACCTCTCCTTTATTTATATGTATTCATACATATTTGTATTTCAGTAATTCCTATAGAGGAAATGGGAATATCACAACCAAATAAAAATTTATTTATAAGCAATGCAAATAACAATCCTTAACAGGTTTTGGAACACTTTACTTATTAAACATTATCATAAAAAAATAGTCGATTTTTTATTTTATTGTATTATTTTGACTACTCATACCTATGACACGAATGAGGTGCTACCTGCGCAATAAGTAAAAAATATATTTTTCTGTAGACTGTAGGAGAAAATAATTTTCAAATTAATGTCTTTTCAATTTTCCTACATGTACTCTATTCCTGACAAAGTTCAGGAAAAAAGGCTATTAAGAAAAGAAAAATGTTTATACAGCTTAATTTATTATACTAGGTAAAGAAAGTCCTCGCGCGGGCTCATTACCGCGTATGGGGAGCGTCCCACGGGTGGCGGATGTGGGGATGGTCGGTGGAAATTCCTTGGAAGTTCCTCCCGGCTAAGTCCGATGGACTCGCTGACCAACAATGAGAGGGGCCCTCCAGACTTGCTGGAGGGAGGGGACCTCCAGACTTGCTGGAGGTAGGGGCCCACCAGACTTGCTGGAGGGTGTGACGTAGGATTGAACGCCCTACTCACATATCTTTAGTTCACCAAACACCACAAAAAGTCATGGATCTCCCTAAGGTAAAACGCTCATTATCCGGAGGTAAACTAGTCCCCCGTTCGGGTCTCCGGGTGGGGACTGCTTTAGGGGATTCATGCCGCAAGTTGAAATATAGGGATTTAAATATTGGTACGTGGAACGTAAGGAGTTTAAACACAGCAGGGGGGCTAAAATCGGTCGCGAATGAGGTAAATGGGTACAATTTGGATGTCGTGGCTCTGCAAGAGGTTCGCTGGCCAGGGGAGGGCTCGATGAGGGAAGGAAAGTACACTATTTGGTACGGAGGAAGCGGGAATCATTGTTTAGGTACCGGGTTTCTAATTAGGAGTAGATTACTATCCGCTTTGAGGGACGTACAATTCTTTAGTGATAGAATTTCGGTAGCTACATTTCAGGGACGTTGGTTTAAAATCGCATTAATAAACATACATTGTCCGACCGAAGACAGTGACGATGAAGTCAAAAGTGAATTTTACGATAAACTCGAATGGGTTTATGATAAACTACCGCGAAACTACATGAAAATAATTGTAGGTGACGCGAACGCAAAGGTAGGAAGGGAAGAAGTTTATATTCAGACGATTGGTAAAGAAAGTTTGCACGAATATAGTAATGATAATGGGATCCGTCTGATAAACTTTGCCATCTCGAAAAACCTGGTAATTAAAAGTACGACGTTCAAACGTAAGGATATTCATAAATATACTTGGACATCGCCGGATTCGCAAACACGAAATCAAATCGATCATGTCTTGATACAACACAGCTGGCAAAGCAGTATAATCAATGTACGGTCTTATCGCGGAGCAGAATGTGGATCGGATCATGAATTAGTAATCGCGAAACTTCGACAAAAACTTAATATAAAAAAGAGAAAAGAAAACCGTTTCGATTTTGAGAATTTTAATTTGGAAAAATTAAAAAATCCATCAATTAGAAACCAATTCGAGCTAGATGTTAAGAATAGGTTTGAAGCTTTAGAGCTTCCTGACGAGGACCACGAGGATATTGACAAGTTATGGGTAGAGATCAGGGATAATATTAAAGCGGTCGGTAACTCGTGTCTAGGAAAAAAGGAAAATAAGAATAACAAACCGTGGTTTGATGAAGATTGCTTAAACATGTGCGAAAAAAGGAAAGCCGCTAAATTAAAAGCTCTAAATAATCCTAGCGAAGACAATCTGGAATACTTCCGAATCTCAAAGAACGAAACGACAAAATTGCTCAAAAATAAAAAAAGGGAGTATCTCAAAAATAAAATAATTGAAATAGAAACTAATAGAATCGAAAATAACGTAAGAGACATGTACAAAGGTATAAACAGATCACGTAAATATGTAGGGCCCGTAACGTCTGGAATTAGGGATGATAATAACAATATTCTGACCGATCCGGTTGACATATTGAATAAGTTTAAGGACCACTTTGACAATATTTTAAATACGGGAAATTATGATCTGTGTCCTCCTTCTGAGTACCAGAGTGCTGAACCGTTGATAGAAGGACCAAGTAAAGAGGAAGTTGAAGTAGCTATCGGTAAATTAAAATCATATAAAGCAGCGGGAATCGATAATATTCCTACTGAACTAATTAAGGCATGCGGGGAAGCTGGAGTTTCTAAAATACATCGCTTGGTTGAAAAGATCTGGGTGAACGAGAAATTACCTGAAGAATGGAAAGAATCTATTCTTATTCCGATTCACAAAAAGGGTCCGAGGACGGATTGTAATAACTATCGAGGAATTTCACTCCTTCCGGTATGTTATAAAATATTCACTGTAATCTTAACCAGTCGAATCACGGAATACGCCGAGGAAATTATCGGAGACTACCAATGCGGATTTAGACGGAATCGTTCGACTATTGATCAAATATTTTCTTTACGGCAAATATTAGAGAAAAAATTGGAGTATAACGGTATTGTTCACCAGCTGTATATAGATTTTAAAAAGGCTTACGATTCTATTGACCGCCAGAAACTGTATAATATTCTAATCGAGCAGGGAATTCCAAAAAAACTAGTAAATCTAGTCAGGATGTGCTTGACGGAGACACTCAATAAAGTTAGAATCGGTAATAATTTGTCCGAAAAATTTGAGGTTCGTTCGGGCTTAAAACAGGGGGATTCTCTTTCGCCTGTCCTGTTCAATTTGGCATTAGAACATGCCATTAGGGAGGTAATGCGTACCGAGAAAGGGTTGGATCTGGGCGGGACAACATCCGTGCTGGGCTATGCTGATGATCTGGTACTGTTAAGCGAAGACGTTGAAACTATAAAACTAAATACGACAACGTTAATGAAAGCCGGTAAAGAACTAGGACTCGAAATAAACGTGGATAAAACAAAATATATGGTTAGCTGCAAAAATGGCGATACTACTGGTGATATCGATATAGATGGTAATATGTTTGAACAGGTAGATAAATTTAGGTATCTAGGTTCTACGATAACTAGAAAAAACGAAATTGAAGAAGAGATTAAAGTTAGACTGAAGGCGGGGAATGCTTGTTATTTTTCTGTGACAAAACTACTCAGTTCGCGCCTCTTGTCCCGAAACTTAAAAATTAGAATCTATAAAACAATTATCTTGCCTACAGTTCTTTATGGATGCGAAACTTGGCCGCTTACATTAAGGGATGAGCAGCGTCTTAAGGTTTTTGAAAATAAAGTATTGCGTAGAATATTCGGACCGAAGAAGGATGAGTTAACCGGAGAGTTCAGACGGTTACACAACGCCGAATTGCGTGAGCTATATCCGGGTAATATAATTGAGGTAATTTCATCGCGGCGAATCAAATGGGCTTGTAAAGTTGTTGGGCTTAGTAACGAGAGAATTCCTAAAAGGTTAATATTTGCTGTGCCGAATGGTAAGCGTCGGAGGGGTAGACCGAAGCGAAGGTGGGAAGATTGCATTAAGGCTGATCTGAAGGGACTGGGTTTGGACGGCGAACGGTGGAGGGAGGTGTGTAACAAGCGATTGGTGGTGTCGGCATCGAACCTTCGGGTTCGCTAAGCCTTATTATTATTATTATAGGTAAAGAAAGTAGTGCGATCGATTCGAATTTCTCATGTGTGGTTTTCGAGGGATCTATACGTTTCAGAGCCCTCTGAAATATTTCAGCCTATTTTTTAGAAAGGTGATTCCCTATAAAACTATATAAAAATCGTTCATTTCGGACAACGAAGTAACAGCTATTCACTTTCGTGTGTAAGATTATGCATTCTAATTCCGGTGTCAGAAAGGAGTGAAAGAGAGAAAAAATAAAAGTAAGTGAAAGTAAAAAAAATCTGGTGCCCGCATAACACAAGTTTCACTGTTTCCTCTTCTATTTCTATTTTAACAGAAATTATAGTGTACTGATTTTTTTACGCTGATCTTTCACAAGCCGGTTTACACTACTTTAGTTTATCGTACTAAAATCTTTTCGTTTTTTTTTTCTTATTCGACATCTCTAAAGATGTAAAAACTTTTCCGAAATAGGTAGAAAAATCGTGCGAGTTGACACACCACATTATGTTTAATATTTTTCACGGTTCCACATGAACAAAATTAAACAAATAAATTAAAATGTAATCGATATAAAAAACGTCAAGTGATAGTTTTATCTCAATTTTGTGATCAAATAATCTTGTGATTCAAGTGGAAAATAAATGAGTGGTGGTGAATTTTTGGCGCCTCATTAAAA